ACATTTAATATTTCTTTTTAATATTAAACATTTTCAATAAAACATTTAATATTTCTTTTTAATGATTTTAAAATCGAATTAAAATAGCGGAGTGCATGTAATTTGAAAAGAATTTATGAAAATGATTCTATCGTTTACACTGTAAACTATTTTCTCATAAAATCTGATATTTGTCTTTGAAAAATCTGTCATTTTTAGTCTCCCGAAATTTAGTATGAAGCATCAAACAACTAACATAAGGCGGCCACACGACAGAAAACTATCGGATTTCTATTAAAACTAAAAAAGACACGCATGACCGCCCAAAAACAAGGAAAAATATATCCTGGGGCAAACAATAACCACCCAGAAGGCCTCAGGCATTCGTGGCACCAGGTGAGTTACAATATTACAAACAATGTGCCCACTTCCCCCGACAAAGCCCGCACGTCCTCATTCAAAAATCCTATCCTCGGGGCAAGATGCAAAGTCCGCCCTCTCGAATTACTGACGTCACAGAGACGAGCTTTCTCTCCCCCCCCAAAAAAAACGGAATTTCGGGGGGGCCCGTATGGAGCTACGCTACCGAGAAATGGCAGAAACGAGCACCTAGGGCCACCTTGTAGTTCTCAGAAAAGAGTTAATGTCTTAATTTCGGTCTTCTGCGGCTTTGTTTGTCATTTCCTCAACCGTTGAGAGTAGTAATTACTGTGACACGTTTCCGTCATTGTTACCCGCTGAGGTGACGTCACCATTAATGTTGATGTCTCTATTAATGTTTCTCTCTTCACTCGAAAGAAAAATGACCATTGTGGTTCGGCAATGGAGTTATTTTTAAGAGAAACTTGTGCATTAAATGCTTTTCTCCCATAGATAATTTCGTTACAGTTTCCGTTATCAGCGGGGATCTTTCCTGTTTTATACAATAATAAAAAAAAGCGTAAGCAGTTTAGCACCTGTTTTTCCAATAAAAATGACTTCCATACTCCGATTATTTATTGCTCACCTACTGTTTGACGAAATCATGGCATGCAGCTTATAGTTTTCTCTATATCCTACATTATAAAAGACGATTTCATAACCCTATATCCACAACAACTTTGACTTTACCTTATACAACTCATCTCTTCATCGAAAGTAGCAACAAATAATCATCTAGAGTGTATTTTATCTAACCCAACTACGGAAAAATGTTCATAAATACATAATTTTTCTATACATATAACAGACTCCTTCTCCTTCCATAGCCTCCTATATATACGTTTATTTATGTGTAAGGACGTACTTTAAGAAGATATTCGTCGTATAGTTTTACATTAATCAGTAAACTTTACTAGTTGAAACTGTAAAATTTGTATAATTTCCATTGCTTTATCTTAAAAAAGTTACGAAATCTACTATTAAACACGCGTTTAAGCTTCTTTCGTTCATCTCAATGTTATTCATTTTGATAACATTTTGATGTATCACGTATCCTTTAAATCCTTAGAATAGGAGGTAATCTACAACTCTATCATACCTGTGAGAGCTATGAAATTACTTAACGCTTTGAAGCAAGGAATAGATAAACAAGAAAAATCACAGCATGCTTTTAAGGAGATTTTTATTGTTCAATCAGAAAGATGGATGCTTCATAACTCTTTATCATATAGTTTTTACGTAGGGAAACACTTCTTTTTATCTCATGATGTTCAGAAAGAGTTGAAATAAACAAAATTATTTATTTTACATTCAATGAGATATTGAGAAAGTAATAGATGTCTAACTGCATGATATAAGTGGAAGAAGCAGACAAAAATACATGTTAAAGTTATCATTTGTTACTGTTTAACAATACTTGATGAAAAGAAGAATTATGAGATGATCTCATAGCTGTCGAGGATGCACATTAAGGTAATGAGATCATCTCATGCAATTTGGGAAATGAAGTAACTAGCATAAACATTCATGAGATATACAAAGCTTTAAAACTCTAATGACTTACTCATGTGAGTGTATTGGAGGTAATTCAGATAAACTTCATAAAAAGTCTTTTAATGCGTGTTAGAATACAAATACCTGAAAAAAATAAACAAAAAATACTGAAGGACGAATTTTAAGGACTAAGAGCTCAAGGACGTTACTTGACATCCGACAAAAGCTATTAAATTTAACGACGCTAAACCAATCGTGGTGGAGAAGAATTGTGTATCCTGTTCGAAAGCCACATCTATGATAACGTTGATCATGCTGAGAGAACCGATCTCGAAATCATAAAGTTATCAAACACATGACAAATTCATTAACACAGGACGGCGAAGAAACGAGTAATGCTGTTTTACATCAAGTGGCATTGAGAAAAGAAATTGCAGAGAAACCGCGCAGAGAAGGAGGAAAAAGTAATAGTATGGTAACTTCCATAAAATGCTACAACAGCAACAATAACAATAAACTCGAGTAACGCCGGGTAATAAATTATGAAAACGTGTATACAGACAGCCCTTGGGCATGTATATGTTACCCTTGGTCAAATTACTCTCGAATCAAATCTTTGTCAATGTTATTAATGGTGTATTTCTTAGCATGTAACCCAATCATTTATACATGTAAAACGGCAAGGGGGCCCTTACATTTGATATTCGTTTATCTATAAATGCTAAAATATGCGGATTTACAAGAGTATTTTCAGAAGAAAGCCGGTCGAGTGGCTCGACTCAGCATGACCAGGTGCCCGTTTTACGATCCCCCAATGACCTGTCGTCGACAAGATGACAAAAGGGCAGTTTCTTGTTTGAAAGGGTTGTAATTAGGTTTTCGACAATATAACAGTAGCTTCTTTTGAATTGCGAGGAAGGGAAGGTTGTCCATCCTAGTAGACAATCTACAAGCAGATATAACAGAGTCGTGCCTCTTGCTACATTAACCTCATCCCTTTTTCTCAAAAAGAAGGAATTTTGCATCCTTTTTCCTTTCGTTTCTCGAAAAAAAAGGATTCAAAAGCCTTAGTGGACACTAAATTTATGGCCGATAAATCTGTACAGATTTATGAGTTTGTTTACGGTTTATGGGTCTTTCGAAATTCTAAATCTAAACCAGGTGTGGGTGGTATGGCTTCGAATACTCGAACTTTTTTCGAAGCAGGATATACGTTACTCCGCTTCTAATAGGCTTTTTCACATTTTAGATCAAGTATAATTAAAATAGTTCCGTGAGTAATCGAGTAAAAACCGCAGTATTGTTTGGAATTTAATGTTGCAACCAGTTACTGAGAATCGTATCATGTGAATAGAAAGGTGTGATTTAACTAATTTAGGGTTTTACACGAAGATCGTGAGCCTTTTTTTTTATACTACTTTGAGAGTTTTCCTGTTACGTGTGAAATGTTCTTATAATGCCAATTTATCGATGGAAAACTAGCAAACAGGAAGGCCAATAATCACGTAGTCAGTTTATGGGAAAGTAAGTCTAATGCATTTAGAAAATTGAATTTTTTCGATCACGTGATTTGCTCAAAATGGCATATACTCCGAGCATATATCAGAAATTATGATACAGTAAATGCAACGAGCATATCTCGATTTAGCCTCAGTGAAAGATTATAAAACAAACACGATCACGTGGCCGATCTACAAAGAAAGAACTAGCTTAGAAATTAAGAATGTTTCATTATTAGAAAAGAGGGAAGGATAACAATTAAATTGTGATTCTCGCACACATATTTGGCCAATAAAATTTAAGAATTTCATTTACGTGATTGATCATTCTTTATGAAGTAATATATGAGAATAAACAGTGCCGGCCCGAGGCAAGTTTTAGGATGGAGCGAGATCCTATTATGGCGCCCCCTTGGTCAGTAGCGTAGCGAACATAACTGGCGCTCGGGGCACGACACTTTATTGGCGCCCCCTCCAGAACACATATAGTTTGTCTTGGAGACCATTTGGGCGCCCCTCTGCGAGTGGCGCCCGGTGCTTGATGCACCCCCTCACTACGCCACTGCCCTTGGTTGTCCCCAAATTTATACCCTTTAATTTTCTTTACCACTGAGGCGCCCCCTAGGACTTAGCGCCTGGAGCGGCTGCTCTTTTCGCCCTATGGTAGGGCCGGCTCTGAGAATAAAGTTTATATAAGTTATATATATGTAAAACACTATAACTCAAAGCCCGATTTAACACACACACACATACACACACACACAAAGATTAATTATAACCCGATTAGTAAATTGTAATATATGGCATAATATCAACCGTTAAATATATTTATTTTTCAATCACGTTACTACAATACATTTTCATATATTTGCTCATTTTATTTTGATTTGAAAGCGCGTGATTAACGGGTATTAAGCATGCACTAAATCACGTGACTAAACTTTACAAACAGCTAACAAAGGTTTGGCGTGAATCACTGCGGGTAATTACACGTTTTAAATTAACGAACATTTTTACGAAAATTCCATAAAAGAAGAAGAAAAATTAGAGAGAGAGAGAGAGAGAGAGAGAGAGAGAGAGAAAGAGAAAAAAAAAGTGAACAGCGAGTCAATTTAAAATCATAAAAGTGTGATTTAGGAAAGTCATCAGTCACCCCGAACTGCTACAAACATTATCAACGCTAATCGCTTACACGCTCCAAATCAGAACGGTGTCAAAACCGGAAAAGTTTAAACCTGGAAAAATTAAAATAATAATAATAATAAAAAAAGAAGAGCAAAAGTTGTAGTTTGTTTATAAACACACTTCTCATCGATCGATCACGTGAGAGTTTCATTAATCAGCGATAACGACCTCCCTCATCACCATCTGCGGATATCACGCGCATCATTAAACCACCTTATGCTCCCCTTCTGCTTTCGTTCATACGCCGAAAAGAAGCAAACCTTTGCCGTGTCACGTGACTTTTTACAGGGGGAGAAAGATAACAGTAATTAACCTTGTAAATTAACGCGAAACTCCTATCAGAATTAACGGAACAGAATACAATTCCATCTTTTCTTCTCGGTAATCCTAGCGCGTGGAGTTTTATTTAATTTAATACTCGTAGTAGCATGGAATTGTATAAGATATAAAAGTGCTTAAACCGACCGAAGACGGAAATAGGACGGTAAGAAGGCCTTACCCCTGCAATTCGACTTTCCGTCGCACTCTAAGCGAACCAATGAGAAATGCGATAAGATAACCTTCCCCAGTTTCGCTTTGGCAACGCCAGATGGCGGTAGCGTCGATATAAAAGAGCAAGCAATGTTGCCACTCTTTCAGTCTGTAGAACGTTTTTATGGTGTGTGGTTGTATCTCAGAGATTAACAATGAGTCATTGACATGCGGCCTTATCGCTGTTAAAAGCGTGGATAAAGTGAGTATTTTTTTACCCCTGACTTTTTCGCATCTCTAACATAGCATGAGCTTTTTTCAAAAAGAGACTTTCACGCTCTTCAACTCTTTTGTAACCTTGATCGATCACACTAAAGTCTTAACTCGTTCGGCGTGGTTGCGTTGTATATCGTGTCACTAAAATAAGCTTCAAGAGCGGAGTTCCTGTTAAGTTTTGCTATTTACAACATTCGCACATAGATATAGTCGTTCTTTTAACTCGAAACTTAACTTTTCTACCGTTAAATTGTACAGATTTTAGAGAAATTTACTTAAATTACACGTTCCGAAAATAATCTTTCGAGTCATTATTACTCACAGATCTGTAAATTTAAATATTTTGTTCCGTTCTTTTCGTTTAAATTATGAAATTTATTAACTTATTTTAGCATTTTTTAAAATTATTTTTCGAAAATTGGCTGAATCAATTACATTCAATTACTCAAAGATGAAAATTTTAATTTGTGAAACGTTTGGTAGAAGTTACTTTTAGACTTTTATTTATACAGGTGTGCATTTATAAAGTATTAAAAGTATCTTCTACCAAGAATTTTATACATTGAATAATATAGATTCAAAAGTATATATTTTTATGAAGATCTCTAGATTAAAATTTAATAAAAATATAACTTTTGTATTAAAATATTCAAAAATGCTAGTATAAATGTGGATTAAAAATGCTCTAATCTACACATTCATAGCTTACATACTGTAATTTCACTAAGTACAGTACATTATATATATTGTGATTTAAAATGATCTCGATTTAATTATTGATGAAAGATTCTCATTTTCTACCTTCGGATCTAAAATGTTATCGTGTTAAATTTATGGATACATGCAGATTTAACACGATAATCTATTACAGATTGAATCAACAATAGCTTAGAGTAAAATAGGAAGGTTTTAATCCTATACCGGCTTTACTTCCTCCAAATACTATATCACATGAGTTGATGGGATACTACAAAGAAAACTGTTAATTTACGCGAGACCTTGTATTTTTTATGAGTTTTCGAAACACACTAGATTCAGGTGGATCTCTTAACTGCTGATTTATAGAGCCTCGAGGCTATTATACTGTAGCGAAATGGTCAGAAGTGTAGTAGGAAAAACAGTAGTTGCTTTCCGAACCTGTTAAAAGTCAAGAAGGTGCGAATCGTGACTTTTTCGGGGTGGGCCACCCGTCTTGCCTCTAGGCCGAAGAGTAAAAAGATATGTTAACTTGTACTATGCAAAGTGCGACCACCCTCAAGTAGGAGATTAAAAAAAAGTTCGTCTAAGGTGTAACAATGTTGAGAGCCGCGCGAGGAAACTGCTTTATACTATTATTAACATTTGTCCTAAATTCGAATTTAAAAACTATACAAACAAAAAACAGGTAATTTGCTTTACTACATTATTTACTCCTGTGAATTTTCTTCCTGTTTTTTAGGGGAACGATTGTTCTAGTGCTAACTACTGAAATAGCGCGCGGCCGATTTATGTATCGGAGTTCGGTGCCCTCTTAAACAATATCCACCCCGCTAGGAAGGTTTATAACGCTCGGGGTGAGGCTCCACCTCCGCCCGGAGCCTAAATTACTCCTAACTCAAAAACTGACCCTTTCGAATTAAGCGTAAAGACCGTTTAGATTTAAACTTAACATTCCATATGGGAAAAGGCCTTTGATACCGATGTCGCATCGGGCCTCAATGGTTTTCTTGGAAGTGGATAGCACTTGAAAGGGGTCTAAAATTAGCTACGGCAATCTAAATAGAACCTTATTTTTAAAGGTTTTAAGTAGGAATGTATTCGAAGGTGGACTTTCACATGGATCCAATTTAAAAACAATGGAAAAGCGATTCGTAGAAAAGGATTTAATGGTTTAAACCGAAAATACAAAACGAATTTATTAGATGGTCAACGTTAAACTAATCGTGACGAAGGTGCAAAGAGCATGTGCACTTTCCCACAACGACCATAAAGCAGATTAAAGCGAACCGCTGCTAAAAGCTTTCCTTTTGACACAATTACAACAGTAATTGATAGGAAGAACCACTAACGTCGTTCTTTATCGCCCCACCCGACAATTTAGATGAGAAAATGGAATTTAAATAACGAAAAGGACTAAAATTTGCAGAGTATATACCACACGTCGCATCTCTCGTCAAAGCGCCACGCCAATAAAAGAAGTTTTCTGAACCAATAATTGTTGGAAAATCTGATAGCAGCTACTTATTATCGCCCTTTATAGAAAGAAAAAGTGTTAAAAGTATTATTATTATTATTATTATATTTTTCCTCTCGTTCCACAATATTTTAAGAGAAAAAAAGACTTTTATGATAAGTCGCATCAAATCAGATCGTTATCGGAAATCTTTTGCCTCTGTTTTATTAAAAATCGAGCAGATAACTATTATTTTTTAATTATTGTTTTAAATAAGGAAACCCGTATTATAAATTCCGTTCAAAAGTTCAATTTATAAGCATTAACGCGTTCAACGCGCCAGCGCGTCGCATCTCATCGCAATGCTTCAGCGCCGCGTTAGGATTAAGTATCGCATTTTTTTTGTTTGCAGATTCGATCATCATTGATAATAACATCCTCTCCGTCGATGAGTGCATGATATCTACAGCATCCATCGAGATGATGGATGCTCCTCTCTTCCCAATCCGATTGCCGATTTATCATCAAGTATTATAAAACGCGCCCGGTGCTGTGCAACATTAATATTTTTTAAAAATAAAAATGATAAAAAAATAGAAAGATTCTTTACTTCCAAGTCGAGTTCTCTCCTTTTTAACGTTTAATCGAAAAGCTGAATATTGACGTACAGCCATAGCAAGCATGTATCGATATCTTGAAGTTGCAGCACATGTCAGAAACTTAAACGTAGTTTTGTTGAAATTTATGAAGTTCTACTCAATCCAACGTTATCTTATTCTTCTATATCCTGTTATGTTATCGTAGCAACAAAATAAACCTGCTTTTACTGCCTCTTCTAGATTTGCAGCACCGAACGGCAGTTGTCGAGTGATAATTTTTATACATTTACAAGCCAAATTTTTACATAATCGAGAGAGAAATACACGTTAAAAAAACTTCAAATAACTGAGAAAAAAAATACATAAATATAATATTAATCCGTTAAATTTGAGATAGAAAAGAGCGTGTTGCTGTGAAAAATTAACTAAGTTAAATATTTAATAACTCTTGAAATAGAAATAAAAATGTTGAAGAAAGTTTTTAATTATGCAGAACTTTTACAAAAGTGCTCTTTGTTCTGTTTGTGTACTTTTTAGTGTACGAGTCTAACGTTTATTAAAGATAAAATTAAACAAAGATCTTGTAAAACAAAGCGCTGTCTATCAAAGAACCCAATGATGACGCATGCCACGTATTACTACTTTCACCTCAATCATTTTTTTTTTTTTTTTTTGAATGATTGGGCCATAGGGAGTAGCAGTTGAATGACAATAATGTACGGGTAGAAAATTATATTTTTAATAAAACAGATGAGAGACGGTTCGCTATAAAGTAACAAAAAATTACCTTAACTAACAATGACGCTCAATTAAGAATTTATATAAAAAAATTGAGATTCTCATAAACTGTATGTCTGTAAATTGTCAAGGAAAAGCTATAAAAGAATAATAAAAATCGTCGAGAAAATTGTTTATAACGTATAACTCCCCAGGATATCGAGAAAATGAACTATTTCGAAAAATACAATACTCTTGGTTGTGGAGAAAAGTGAAGTATTTGAAACGTACAACTCACTGGATTGTCGAGGAAAATGAAGTATTCGAAACCAAAAACTTGCCAAAGACTAGACAAAATGAACTGCTTTGAAGAAGAGGGGGAAAAAAGGCGATAAAGTGAAATATTTTGTAAAAAAACTTGCCTAGAAAGTGGGAAAAAATGAAATATTTTTTGAAATATATATTTCGCTATTGTTAATGAAACGAGAATTTATTTTTTTGAAAACGCCAATTCTCTAGTCTGTCGAGAAAACGGATTACTTCGCAGATACAATGCGCTAGAATGTCAAGAAAATGAAATAGTTCTACGAAATATATAATCTATTTCACTATATTTAATGGAACGAATATATTTTTGAAGAAATTCGTAACGTTATCCATCAAGATTGCTGTTAATTGTAAGCTTAAAAGCATACGGAAGAAGAAAAATTTCGAAAATATTCTCTTTAAATAGTGGAGAAAATGAAAATAAAAAGGAAGACGAGAACTGCTGATTGAGCGGAAATGTTATTTTAAGAAAGTAACCGATAAAGAAGAGTATATTAGCAAATAATTACGGTTACATTCTGTTACATCAGCATCATTTAACCCACTAATTTTCCAATAGATATGCGGTTTCTTTGGGTCATGCTTCAAAGATAACAAATTAGAGACTCGATCAATAAAAGCGGCACTTCCCGGAATCATGCTCCACCTCAACTATTTACTGTACATATTTTTTCTACCTGACATTCGCTAACCTAGGCCTCGTTATATCAGGAATTTTTACATGTATTGTGATGGACACCGTAACCAATTGGATTGTATAGGAGGGCCAACACTATTCTATCTACTTTTTTCCTGGCGTTAGAACCAGTTTCCGGAGAGGATCCACTAAGGTAGAGGCTACTCCTAGGTCGGGTCCGTTCTTTTACATAATACGAATTGAAAATATAATTAGAAAATTTATTAAATAAGCGCTTTCTTTATGTAATTCCTTACTTCCTCGCCTATCTGGCGATCTCAAAATTACTCCCTTTCTGTCTTGATTTACGTTTCGAAATTACAGATTTATGTATTTCGGAAAAAATATGTTTTATTTTGCATAATTTATCAGCTTAAATTTATGACTATTTTTAAATTTAATGAAATTTTTAATCGGTTTTTTTAATTTGTCCTCTCCTGTTTAGTGTGTTGAAATCGCTATTTTTTTACGTACTTAACCCTATAGATTTTTAATACTTTACGCAATTTTGATAG